GCCAGCGATGCAATACGCAATCTGGCCTTAACGGATGCAAATTTCAAAATCGCGTGGAATTTGTTGCGCGCGCGATACGACAATCGTCGACGATTAGTGCACGAGCACGTCCATGCGCTCCATACGCTTCCCCCCGCGACCTCAGATTCCGCCGCCGCGCTCACCGCGTTGCGAGATAGAGCAAGCGTTTCAATTCAGTCGTTAAAAAACCTCGGTCGTGCGGTTGACACATGGGACGACGTGCTCGTTTATTTGCTCGTCCAAAAGCTGGACAAAGACACCCGAAAAGCATGGGAATTAAAACTTGGCGATACGGTAGATTATCCCACATACGAGCGCCTTGACAATTTCTTAAAGTCTCGAATACGCGCTCTCGAGAATATTCTCCCGGCTTCGTCGCAAGTCAAGGGAAATAAACAGCATGCCTCAATTCAAGCTCACGCAGCTAATGCCTGTACAAACAAGTGTCCCATGTGCCAAAAGACGCATTTCTTGTCCGCGTGTCCGGATTTTCAAAACAAAAGCGTCGCTCAACGACGTGATCTCGCGAAGAAGTTTCATGCGTGCTACAATTGTCTTAGCATACGGCATACTCGCGACGCGTGCTCGAGTAAGAACACATGCCGGCAATGTCAGCAAAAACACCACACGCTTCTTCACGCGATCGACGTGAATAACACTAGCTCGACAACCGAGAGCTCACCTTCATCCACGGACGCGAAAACAGATTCAACTAACGAAGTAACGTCACATTTGTTGTCGCACACGACCTTCTCGAAATCAAATATTTTGTTGGCTACTGCCTGGATGAGAGTGAGCGGTCTCAACGGTCGACATGACACAGTTCGTGCGTTATTGGATCAGGGTTCCGTTACCACCTTGATCACCGAACGATTGGCTCAGCGATTGCGCCTCCCGCGTACGCGCGTCTCCGTCTCTATCACTGGGATCGGCGAGACCGCTGCCACCGCACGCAGCGCAGCTACCGTTCAATTGTCAGCTCGTGACGGCACGGGCCCGAGGCCCTCCGTCTCCGCTCTCGTTCTCAAGTCGCTTAAGACTTACGTTCCGCACCGCGTGCCGGATATAACCAATAAGTCGTACATACGCGAACTAACGCTAGCGGATAGTGATCCTACTAGCGCAGCGCCGATTGACATTATAATCGGTGCTGATTTATATGGCGCGATTCTACTACCGGAAGTCCGTAGTCGCGCTCCCAACGAGCCCGTTGCTCAAAACTCGATTTTCGGATGGTTCCTGTCCGGACCAATGCCAGCGCCGTCGCGGCCGGCTCGCATTCAAGCGCATCACTGCACGCTGCTGGAGGAACTATCGGATCAATTAAAACGGTTCTGGGAGGTCGAAGAACTTCCTCAGAAAGCGCATCTCTCACCGGAAGAGATGCGATGCGAAGAGCATTTCGTATCGACGCATTCTCGCGCCCCCAATGGGCAATATATAGTGCGGTTGCCGTTTAAATCGGGGCCCCCTATCGAAATCGGCGAATCAAAATCGTCTGCTATCGCGTTGTATTCGCGCCTCGAAGCGCGGCTAAAGTCAAATCCGGACCTCGCAAAAGAATACAACGAATTTCTCGCGGAATACGAGCGTCTCGGACACATGGTCAAGGCGCCGCTAGACGAACCTCCCGATGGTCAGGTATATTATATACCACATCACACAGTTATACGCGAACACAGCTCGACAACTCGTCTGCGCGTCGTATTCAACGCCTCGCATCCGACTTCCAATGGTCTCTCCTTGAATGATCATCTCATGGTTGGCCGCAAACTGCAACCTGAGTTGTCATTTATTATTTTGCGATGGCGGCAATATCGGTTTGTATTTACCGCCGATATCGCAAAAATGTATCGCCAAATCCTCGTCCACCCCTCCGATGTGGAATATCAGCGAATCTTATGGCGACCCACTCCGACCTCGCCATTGATAGCCTATCTCTTGTTAACAGTCACGTACGGTAACGCGAACGCGCCGAATGCCGCCCTTCGTGTCGTCGACCAAGTCGCCAAAGACGAAGGCGCGGAATGTCCGTTGGCCGTCCCGGTATTGCAGCTGCACACATACGTCGACGACTGTGTGTTTGGTGCAGACGACATCCCTCTCGCGCTTCAAACGCGAAATCAACTAATCTCACTATTGAAAAAAGCGGGATTTCATCTCCGCAAATGGGCGAGCAACCAGCCTGTATTGCTTGAAGGCATCGATCCTCAGGATCATGGCCTTGCTTCCGCAAAAACGCTCGAAGCGGACGAGCGTCTAAAGGTACTCGGGCTCAAGTGGGACCCCAACCAAGATGTCTTTCGATTCAACGTCACGCTCGTAGATTCCGTCCCCGCCACCAAACGCTCGATTCTCTCGACTATCGCACGAATTTTCGACCCTCTCGGCTGGATGGCTCCCGTCGTCATCACCGCGAAAATTCTTATGCAGCAACTCTGGCTGCTTCGCTGTGAGTGGGATAACGTCATACCGGAGGATCTTCTCCGCAAGTGGAGAGATTTTTATTTTCAATTGCCGCTACTGAAACAAATCTCAATTCCGCGGTGGACAGGTTACGGATCCGACACGCTCAGCGCGGAGGTTCATGGGTTTGCCGATGCGTCCGCCTCCGCATACGGCGCGGTGATTTATTTACGAGTCACGCACATCGACGGGACAGTCGAAATTACGATGCTCATGTCAAAATCAAAAGTAGCCCCGCTCAAACCCATGAGCATTCCGCGATTAGAGCTGTGCGCCGCGGTACTGCTTGCGCGCACAATCGACGCGATCCGATCCGCTCTCACAATCGCAATCAAGTTTTACCACTGTTGGACCGATTCAAAGGTCACTGAAGCCTGGCTATCGCAGCCTCCTTCCCGATGGCCAACATTCGTAGCAAATCGAGTCCACGAGGTACAAACCCTCCTGCCGACCGTCGAATGGCATCACGTGCCCTCACAACAAAACCCGGCCGATCTCGTGTCGCGAGGAGTGCCTCCGAAAGATCTTATCAAACAATCTTTGTGGTGGACAGGGCCTGACTGGCTCAAGCTGTCGCCCGATCAATGGCCAATCGAGCCTCAATCCCACGCGCCGGAAATACAGCCCGAAGAGCAAGTTCGCGCTCCCGTGCACGTCATGCAGCCTCGCGATCGATGGGATCTCAGCGAGAGATTCTCGTCGTGGAATAAGCTGGTGCGAGTCACCGCTTACGTCGTGCGATTCACGCGCCGCGCTCGCGAAGGAGGTTGCGGCAGGGCAAACGCGCCGTCGCAGAACGAGCCGGAACCGCTCAGCCCGGACGAAGTAAACTTCGCGCGCATCTTCTGGCTGAAGAACATTCAGCGTCAGTTGTTCCCCGTCGAATATGCTCAGTTAGAGCTCTCACAACGCATCTCGAAAAGCAGCAAACTACTGTCGTTGAACCCGTTTCTCGACAAGAACGGGCTCATTCGTGTGGGCGGTCGCCTCCGCCATTCGACGTTTCCGCACGGCAAAAAGCACCCAGTGGTACTCGCTGCCCATCCGGCAGTTGCCGCGTTAATACGCGATACTCACTTACGCGCCCTCCACGCTGGGCCGCAATATACGTTGCACCAGCTACGCGAAACTTACTGGATATTACGAGCGCGTCAAACGATCCGCGCTGTTCTACATCAATGTGTCACATGCGCTCGGGAAAGCGCCAAGATCGCGAGCGAGTTGATGGGCGACCTGCCCGTGTACCGCGTTACGTCAACGTCTCGTGCATTCCTACATTGCGGAGTGGATTACGCTGGACCAATACAGGTCAGATCCACACCCGGTCGAGGGTACAAATCGAGGAAGGCTTACATAGCCGTGTTTGTGTGCATGGCAGTCAAGGCCACGCATCTAGAGTTGGTTGGCGACTGTACGACTTCCGCGTTCGTTGCTGCTTTCGATCGTTTTTGTGCGCGTCGCGGCGTTCCCAGTGACATGTATTCGGACAACGCTACGACCTTTCACGGAGCTCATCGCGAAATATCCGCCGCATGGAAGCGAGCCGTGTGCGATCCAAATTTTCAGAATCGGACCGCGACTCAAGGCGTGCGGTGGAACTTTATTCCTCCGTCCGCGCCGCATTTCGGCGGGCTGTGGGAGGCATGCGTCCGCAGCGTCAAATTTCATATGAAACGCGTCATCGGAGCGCACACGCTGACATCCGAGGAGCCATTATACCGATCCCTGTTTGTTTCGTAGCGCTCGGGGGGAGACCTCGCGGGCTTGTAGGCATTTCTTTCTAAACCACGTTCACCGTCATCCTTACGAGGGTTATTGAAACGCGTATTATCTAGCTCTTGTCTTTTCGCGAGGGTCTTAACGTGAGCGAATGCGGCGGGGAGATTGTAATGGTCTCTGCGATTGAGTTGAATTCGATAAGTGAGCGGGAGTCCTTCGCAAAAGGATCGCGCGGTTAGGGCGTCGATTTCGGTCGTTGCGTGGTCGTCTAAGTATCCACGAGTACGCCTTTCCTCATCAAGGATGGCCGACCGGAGATCTTTTACTCGGGTTATGTAATCTAATATATGCTCCCCTGATTTTAGATAAATAGTACTCAGTTCGCCGCGGTATTGATCTATCGTGCGCGGTACTCCGAAAGCGCCATTTAATAGGTCCGCGAGTTGCGTCACGTTTTCGCACACTTCGTCCTCCACCGCGGATATAGCCCTTCCGCGTAGTTTGGTCAGGAGAAGGCGGGTTAGATTGCGTTCGGAAGACGGTGGGAGAATCTCCTTGGCGCGTTTGCAGGCACGTACAAATTGCGACAAGGAGATATTTTGTCCGTCAAAGGAAGGGACTGTGTCTAAGGCTTCTTTAAAGGATATACGCGGGCCATAATTTTCCGGAGTTGAGTCTCGCGGGGAACGACTGCCCGCGCGCGACGCGTCGGAACGTGATTGTTGTCGCGAGGCAGATAGTCGATAATCTTCCATGCTCGGATAGCGATTGTCCGAAATTGATTCATCGAACCGTAAGCGTTGTCGCGAGGGAGAGAGTGCTTGCGCGGCGTCCCGTGACTCGTTCGATTCAGCCCTACTTTCTCGGAATTGTTTAGTCATCTCGGCTCGTTCCTGCTCCATGCCGATTCTAATTTTCTCTAATTCTTCCTTTCCTTTCTCGAGAACTTCTTGATCTCGCCTAACCCTTTCCTGTTCTTCGCGCAACCTTGCTTCTTCCGCCCTTTGTTTCCTTTTCTCTTTATGGAGTATTTCGAGCTCGTGCTCCATGTCGGCTCTACGTTTTGCGAGTTCCGCTTCGCTCGGAGGCTCGGTGGACTTAGAACGAGTGTCTGGCATCGCGAATTTTCGTATCCCACCGCTGTCACCAGATTTGTGTTACGTCCCGATAGATCGCGGCCGCGAAGGGGGGCGGTACTCGGATCGTTTATACGAGACTAGTCGCTTTTCGGGTTATCAAGCCAAGGGGCTCTATCCGGGGATACCTGCGACCGAGGTAATTCGCTATCCAGACGCTCGTCACCAAATCGTTTGCCCGATCCGCACCCTCACTGGGAGATTTAGATTCGGTAATTCTTCACCGTACCGTTGATTCAGAGGATTCGTCAGAAATCGTTCAAACGGCTCTTCTACTCTAGTGCATGCGTAACATTCGAAAGCGGGCCGACAGTCGGCTAGAACCTTACTGCACTCGCTACACGTGGGGAACTCTATTCGCGGCCCGTATTGCACGAAATGCCTGAGAACGCCTTCAAAATCTTGCCGGAAGGGCTGGTATTGGCCGAGCTGGCAATCTTCACAAATAATGACCCCCGTAGTTTTATTTTGGAAAAACAATGACCAGACACAGATTCCCGTCATTAACCATGCTCTGATAGGGCTAGGGGGTGAAACTACCTCCGGAGGCTGCCGATTTACGGGGTGTCCGGGACACATGAACAATGAGGTGCTAAACTCTAGTTTGCAAAATGGCAATTATCGTGGATTCGCGTTCCAAATATTGGTCTCCTCCCTCGTGTTCCACCGAACGTTTTACGTTAGAGAATATTTCACAGCACGTGGTACACGCGGAGGGACTCTGGATTTCTCCGATTACGACGTCGCACGAATCGCACTCTTCGACCTTGTATCGGTAACCGATATGCATATAATGGCGGACTAAGCAGTCGTACTGGCGGCGTTGTGGGCCCGTTAGGTCTCGGAAACACTCTTCACAGAGGTAGTGTTTGCTGTTACGATTTTGATGGCAGATGGTAAAGACGCACACGGCGCGCGATAACCAATTCCGCCGCGCAATTCTAGAGGCCAATGGGGTGAGTCGGCGCGCGGGGCGTCGCGTGCGCGGCTCGCTCATGCCGTTTGCTTAGCGCCTAGGGGCGTCGTCACTTACCTTTAGTCGAGTTCCAATGGGTGATCCGCGGTGCCCCAGTGTTCTGGTGGTGAAGCGTCGAACCACAGGTGTAGAATCTCGGCGCGGCGCTGGATCAGGCGGATCCGGCGGGGGTCGTCCTTTTTGATTGAAGCGATGAATTCCCAAGATGGGACTGGTGGTGGCTTGTCGGAATCTCTCCCCGGTGTGAAGGTGATCGGGGTTAGCCGATAGTTCTGGGCCTTCCGAAATGCTTGGTAATCTGCTCGAGACTCGGCCTTGTCCAGTGGAACGTAGATGTATTGTATACTTTTAATGTTAATTTTGCGCACTGAAGTTACGTTCTCGAGTTTTGGTCTCGCATCCGCCTTGCACGCGGAACTCGCGACGAAGTACTTTTCGTATTCAGGATCGGGCGTGTAATCGGAAAGGACTCCTAACAATGGATTCGGAGGGGTCCCGAACAAAAGGCGGTTGAGCCTGCGGGTGCGTACCTTGAGTCCGCTTCGTCGCGTCTTGGGCATTTGTTAACAACTGAGTGAGGTCAAAAGACAAATTCGCTTCGGTTGACTCTCCTTGCTCGTGGCGAGAAAGCGTGCTGCTCGTACAGCACTGCCCCTCTCCAGACACCCACGGACGGTAGCGTGCCGCTCGTACGGCACTGCCTCGTACGCAGATGTGGCACAAGGGGAGGACCGGTGATTCGGATGCCTTCTTATAATTACTAAAATACCCACAGGCGGAGACGTGCCGCTCGTACGGCACTGGGCTCGTGTGTGGATGTAGTATAAGTGGGATCAGTGGAGGATGTGCGAAGAGGTGTAAGAATTTGTAGAGTAAGATATTGTATAAAAATGGTTGTATATTACGATAATTTTACATAGGACATCTATGAGCTGACATGTGATTACAAAAGTAACAAGATTACAATCAAGAATATATATATATATTTATATAATTGTCGAGTGAAACGAACGTATGGCGTATTTCTATATGACACGCAATTCTTTATGTAGTGAGAGAGCTGAAGGCTCTGGGTTTGGTAACGCACGTGGAGATAGGAAGATTCTCGATGTGGAAATAGGAAGGTTCTGGATTCAGAGAGACTCGAGAAGGATTCAGTGGTTACTTAACTGGAGAGTCCGTGATCGAGGTAAGACTCCGGAGAACTGAGGGCGTCCCTTGGGATGGTCGTCCTTATATTCCTGTTTTTCCGATGGCGGGGGTGGTCGAGTGGAAGGGTTGACTGAGTGGAAGGGTTGAGTTGCGTCATCGGCTTCACTTTCGATTTCTCTCCTTATATGGGCATGGCCTGAGTTTTCTTCCTTTTGTTGCCTGAGTGGAAGGGTTGAGTTGCGTCATCGGCTCCGCTTTCGATTTCTCTCCTTATATGGGCATGGCCTGAGTTTTCTTCCTTTTGTTGCCTGAGTGGAAGGGTTGAGTTGCGTCATCGGCTCCGCTTTCGATTTCTCTCCTTATATGGTCATGGCCTGGGTTTTCAGGAAGGGTTTGGGAGGTTTTAGGTTTGCGTTACTTGCGAGGAAATTCCTATGGCTAAACCCTTTTGGGCATTGCGACTTATTCGTTGTATATACATTATTGGAATAGGCCAAGCTTATTGCGTATCGTGACTTATCTTCTATATTTATATGCTAGTGGGTAGGTTAAGCCTATCGCGTAGGTCGTGACTTATCGCTAGTGTGGTAACTTATTTAGTGGTAACTCTACTGACGGTAAGTCATGCTAGTGAGTGAGGTAACTTATTCAATGGTAATCCTACTGTCGGTATTCGGTGGTAATCCTATTGTCGGTAAGTCATGCTAGTAGTATGGTAACTTATTTGGTGGTAATCCTACTGTCGGTAAATCATGCTAGTAAGTATGGTAACT